GTTCTAGCCTTCAGTCAGGGAAAAGGACCCTGATTAAAATCTTCAGTGGCTTTGACAGGCATCCATCACCAGTACCTGCCTGTTCTGCAGGAGGAGACACTAATACCAGCAGCACACACAAATGTAAAATGGCTCTAAATTTTAACAAATGCAACCAGGCAGTGGTCTAACAGGCACCAGCCTACAGATCGTTTTTAGTATATCAGCAATTTAAATAACTCAAAATGCCACAATTAGATCCTATTAAAAACACACATTGGATAATTAGGTTGTATTTTAATTAAACATTAACTTACCCAGTTTGTTGAATTAATTACAATTCAAGCACAGGAAAGTTCAGAACAGTGGATTTAACATGCCCCTGTGTGATGCTGCATGATTCGTTTTTCAAGTCACCTAAGTGTTGGTAGCCCACTGGAGTGACAATGCAGTAGCCATTGTCCCAGGAAACTGCTGGGGAAATAGTATTTATATGTTAAGAGATCCTTTGGTTTTTTTGAGAAACAGAACATAAGGCAACATTCATGAGAGATGTAATACGTAACAAGGATTGCTTCACAGACTAAATTTTCCACAATAAAACCTTGTGACTTGTGTCACTGCTAGACACTTATCCACTTGCTAGGCCCTGCCCAAATCTTTGAAGTTGTGGCCCAGGGGGCCAGGCTTTTGCAACCTGTTCTGCAGTTGCACTGCTCAGCACTGAGTAGAGTAAATCCCACTGGGCAGTGTGCCAGGACACACTGTGCTGGGTCGTAAAACAAGCACCCTCCCAGAGGGAGTGTGCAGGAGGGCTTCCCGGAGCAGCGTGCAGCTTAGGGCACCCTGTACAGCCAGACTCCCTCCCCATGTACTGACATACCCTCTGGCCATCAGCAGAAGGCACGATTTAGGACAATTTTAAGCAAAATTTTTCAGTGCATAGCTTGTGCACTTGACTGTTAAAGATCTTCTGGTGTGGTTAATTAATTGGAAAGCATGCCTTGCTGCATTGATTGTCTGTCTCATATATATCTAAAATCACTCACCTGAAGACTCTGCACCTCCATGTTGTTATGGGATTGCAGCATCTGAGAGGGAATGACATATCACATAGATACTCTGTCAACTTCTGACAGCTTCGGAGCACAAATTTCAGTGTGGGTAAAAGCAAACAAGCAGAAGACCTGAGACTTAAAGAAAAATGAGGGAGAAGCAGAACAATCAATAACAATCTCATACTTAAAAATGAAAAAAAATCTCTGGGATCATATCACCTCCCAAATGCCACAGCCTCTGGGTAGCTGCTCTTATCTTCAGCGAGCACAGGTCCCCAAAGCTATCATGGCTGTCTCCATGGATGCTACACCCCAGCCTTGGCTGTGTGGGGCAAGATGTGACAGATGTAGATGAGCCAGCTCAGGTCTGGAAGCTAGGTTGCTCAGCCACAAAGCTTTCTGCCTGAGCAAACATGGCCAGCCTTGCTTCTGACCTCTGGTGGGGAAGGTTGCAAGCCCCTACAGCTCAGGAAGGTGTTGGGGCTGACCCCATGAGTAGACTCCTCGATGCGAGTCAGACAGGGTGGTCTGTTTGTTGGGTCAGAGCTTATATGTGCACACTCAGTCTCTCCGGCAGCCTGCCTGCACGTCTTCCATCTGGTTTGGGAAACAAAGCAACCAACGCATTTCAGTCTACAGCACCATTTCCAAGGAACTATTTTCACTTGTCCAGTCCAAACTCAAAACAAAACACCACCAAACACACTATTCATAAGACAAAACTGTACCTGAGCTGAGGTTTGAGGACTCACACAAAACTTCCAGCAGGTACTCCCACCAGGCAGCCCCAGGACAGGGGGCTGAAGCACCGCCATAGTTAATGACTACAGCTCAGGAGAAGCAAAGCTGCTGTGGGGACAACCTGACTTTGGTTAAGTTGCAGAGAACTAAATCCATTCTTCAAATTGAGGTAATTTTAAAGATGTAATTTTTAACAGTTATTGCTGGAGGGACCAAGGAGAAGAGGGGGAATAGTTTGTCACCATCTTAGTATTTAACAAGTTTGGGGGTGGAAGTTTTGGGATATCTGCTGACACTAAGTTCTGTGATTAAGCAACTGTGGGCCATATTTCAAGTGTGGGAGGAGAAAAGAAAGTTATCCTCATCCTTATCCTCATTTTTTGTTGTTGTTTTGTTTTATGGTCAGGACATATTTTTCATTCAGGAAAGATTTTAATCTGGGACAGATGAAAGAAAGAGAGGGCATGTTCATTTATTTATTTTCTGATATACCATGAAAAAAATTAAGAGTGATTAAACCAACACTTTCTTTAATAAATTAATAGCAGCATCACAAAACCCTGATGTGGATGACCCAAAGGAAGTTGGGTAAGTGACAGTATTTAACCATTCACAAAAATGTTACCACCTGCTGGCCAGGAGATAATGCAGGCGCTGTAAGGCAGTCCCCTTGTCTGTTTATCTAAACAAGTGACATACATCAGTATGGGTCCAGCTGAATCACAACGCTTGACATATTTACAGTTCTGGTGCTGAATTTTTTTAAAAACATTTATAAAAATTCTGTAAATTCTCTGTTCAATTCCCATTATTTACATCCAAATATAGTAGGTTCCCTTTTTGCCCATACAACAGAACCGGCAAGGATAAGACATGAAGGCTCCTATGCAAAGACAATGCCTGTGTGTGGACTTATATTGAGTTTAAGGATGCTGTGGAAAATGAACTATTCACACATGTGCTAGAAGCTACTGTAATTCAACTTATTGCTAAATGCTTTCAAAGTCTGTGGTTGGCTTTTAAATATATATATATATATGTGTGTGTGTATATGTATGTACACACTCGCACATATATACATACACACATATACCTGTTTGGAAAAGATGTGCTATGAATTCACCCAAGGAAGAAAAAGAACTTAAAAAGCAATGTGATATTTCTGATTTTTCTGTACTGTTTGAGACGGTCAAATCTGACTCAGAGCAAAGGGCAGTCACTGAAGGCACAAGTCTGTGTCTCTGGCCAGTCGTTTTCCTACTGGTTACCAGACTTTTTGGAGAGGCAAGTGGATTCCCAAGCATTCAAGTCCGTGGCAGTATCAGCAGGTTGGCACATTGTGCATCTGTGCTGCCTTCTGCAAGCAGTAAGCTACCCTCTGCATTAAGATACCTCACCTGCCTGCATGGAAGTACTATGGATTTTTCGCAGGAGGGAATGAGGGAGAAGAGAGGACCATCAACTGCAACACATCAAGCTGGGAGCAACCCAGCAGCAGATGTAACCCATATGTTGCGTTTCGGTAGTGGCTTCAGCGAGGTTGTTGCTGTAAGCAGCAATGCAACAGCTCGTTATGTTAAAGCACTAGCAGAATTTTCCTTTTCTTCTACAAGTTAATTTTGGTGGGATGAACACAGCAAGCTTAGAGTACAAGCAGTTCATGTTAGTAAAATGCAATTTATCCATGCTAGTGTAAGCTTTTCTTTTCTGATGTTTTTCATAGCCAGAGGCTGTCAGTGATGCTAAATGCATCCATCGGCACTGCAGCATTTGTGTATTAGTTAATGAAGATGTAAAAACCTTACGGGTGATAGCTGGCATTAGACTGTACTCTACACAAGGAAATTGCATGAGAGGCATCACCCCAGAGGCACAGTGCCAGAAAGACGTGATGCCTTGGAGGGTTTGTCTACACAGGAACACAGAGGAAAATTAATTCAAATTATACATGGTGTGAATTAAAAACAGATTACTTAAAAAATGCATTAAATCCCAATGTGGATGCTTTCATTAAGATGTAAGTGGTGTTAACGTGATATACTATAATTTACTTTGGGAGTGAAATGGAATAAATCAAATTTAAAAGTTAATCCAGATTAATCTTCCAGGTAGACTAGCTCCAGGTCTGCTTCCTTCCTGTCCCTGGTCATCATTTGCTTTTGAACCACATCACCAGCAAATTATTCCAGTCACATACACTGTCCAGCTCTGCCCACCCCCTCCTGAGACCGGAGAAACGAGCGGGGACCCTCATTTATGCCTCTCTACTGAGCATCACCCGGGAGGCATATACTGCACCTCACAGCATGACCCCAACCAGCACCACACGCACAGCACCTTCTGCTCTACTCTCAAAGCAGTGTTTTGTCACCAGCGCTGCAAGTCCCAGGATGTTGAAAAATAAAATCAAATGCTAAACAAACTAAGGGATAAAAGATTATGAGGACTGAGAAGACGAGCTCTTACAAAGCCAGAGCGCTCTTCTCCAGGTCAACCAAAGACCCTGATCACCCAAGCAATCTGTGAAGGCAGTGCCATCCACACTGCACACAGCTTGCTCCATCCCAGAGCTGATGATTATCTATAAGACCAAAGGAGGGCTTTTTCTAAATCTGAGGCACTCCATTTATAAAATGGTTGAAGCAGATAACCAGGGTTTGCTCTGTTTCTCATGCTGCTTCTCCAAGTGTGCAAGTGATCCCAGCCAGGATTGCAAAACCACACCAGAACTGCATTCCCCACCTTCCTTAGGGGAGCTGGAGCCTCCTGGGGAATGGCAAGAAAACAGCAGGATTGGAGAGGGAGTCAAAATTTAACAGAGGTCCCTTGAAGTGCAAGACTGCCCCAGTATGGCAGCAAGCCACTACCCATAACAGGACACGTCTGGCCAGGTGCCTGCATAGCCGCTACGCTTTCATGATGCCTCTCTGCCAGGTTTCTGCACAGTCTTTACACGGCACAAACAGGGGTGAGGATTTAAAGTATATATTTACTGTCAACTTGAAAAAGAAAGTTATACTGACCAAGACTAATAGCATGTATTTGATATATAACTATTAACGTGCCATTCTGGACTCCAGCAAATGCCACCTGAGATAAATATTCAGCATTTTTGTTCATGCACTGGAAGAAGAATTCTAACATTTTGTCCATGACATATGCAAAGTAACTAATAGTTCTGATCTAGTATTAACAGTAAATATAGAACCTTAAACTTCACTGCAGTATATTAATATATATGATTTTAAGTACTGGACTGGAAAGACAACTCTTTTTTCTTTAAAAAAAAAAAGCTTTGTTTGGAATGCAATATTTACATTGTCCTTTGACCAACACATTTTTACACAATATATTTTGGCTACAGATACACCGTAGCAAAAGGCTGTGTGAGCCATCTTTACACACAGCTCACTCTTTCGCTTACAACATTACAACTATTTATGGAGAGCTCTGAAGTCCCTGGTTGCATTTCAAGGCCCTCCTCAGCTTCATCTAGTTCCATGCTATTGAGTTCATTGCCATTTCGATAACTAGTTAAAGTCAGATCTTTTCCATATAAAGCTGTTGAAGCAACATTCAGACACTGATTCTGCCGCAATGCTGATTTTTTACTGTTCTTGTATTGGCAACGGATGTAATTGGAAAAAGCCCTGCGGTATGTTTTATTGAAGAGTGTGTATACGAGGGGGTTAATCCCAGAGCAAACATACCCCACCCAAACAAACACATCAAGGAGTTCACTCAAGAGGTCTTTATCGCAGGCTTCCTTGCAAAGGACAGACATGACATTAGTGATGAAAAATGGGCACCACATGATGAGGAACAAAAAGAATACGATGCCCAGGACCTTGGAGGCTCTTCGCTCATTGTTGATGGACTGCATAGTTCCTTTCCGAAAAAGCACTGCCTCCTTATTTACAGGAGAGTTCAAGTGAGATGCCCCCTCATGATTGTGAAGCATTGAAATGTTCTCTGTGTTGTTTTCCTTCTTGAGGCAGTTTACGCTGCTCCTCCTCTGCTTGGGCACCTCTCCACACATGAACACTGTTGCCTGTCTCTGCAGCACCTGGACAGTCAGGCAATATGTGATCACCATGATGATGAGAGGGATGAAGAACGCCATGAAGGATCCAATGAGGACAAAGTTTTCATCGTTGAGGACACAGGTCCCATTTACAAACACCCTGGAGTCATCCTGCAAGCCAATGACCGGAATGGGCATAGATATCCCTAGAAGAACGACACCAAAAAAAGAGTCAGTTACCTGGACGGACGAGGCTCTAAAGAGGCAGCAGAGACGATGCAGGTCGTGCATGCCTTCAGCCCACTGCCTAAACCTGTTCAAAAGAGAATTTACTACTCCCACATGGAAGGGAAAACCTCATGTAACAACACTCCTGGGAGCGCAGCTCCAGGGCATGAACACCCTCTGCTGGGAACAACTGCAGCTTTGCTGCGCTCCACAGCTGACACAGCGAACGAAGTGTAACTCCTTTATCAAGTTCTTTTTCTAGCATTTATTGTGATTTGCGGGTGTAGAAAAGGCAGTCATTACCCTGTTCTGTTCCAGCTGGCCACTCCATGCCTGCCAGTTTGGGAGGTTTTTGAAATCACTGACATAAGGTAGATAGTAGCAAACTTTAAAGAGGAAAATTATCAAAATGCAAAAGAATTACAGCTATGAAGGTTTAGAAGCAAGTTTCTTAAAGACATTAAAATAATTCTGATAGAAAAATGGCCACTTTTGCCATGGCATTGCAGACACATGGAAGAAAAGGTCCTGGCTTTCTGGGTCCTTACCAATTATCTCGGTGCAAGCAGACAGTGGTCTCTGCAAGCTCTGCCTTCCCAGGAATTTCACCTACAACCAGTGTGAAACTGAGAAGTACCACAGAGAGAGCCTTGCTTGAATTCTCAGAGAAGGCAATTACATAGTCAAATGAAAAGGTTGCAGCACGCATCTGCCTGATTCCCATCCCTCTATCTTGAATACTGGGCTAAAAACTGGAACAACAGACAACATGAGAGTAGAAAAGGTGTAACTAAAATGGTAATCAGATTGACATGACAGTCTGAAATCAGAACTCCAGCTACAAACCCTCTGGCTGAAAGGAAGGAAATTTTAAATTATTCAATTATAATAATAAATAGAGCACAGCTTCCAGCTACTCCTAAGCACTAAGCAGACTAATAAGCCTCCGGGATCACTGCACTTGCCAAGGCAGTTTCTCTTTTATCTTGGTAGCACAGCACTTTTTACAGTCGTGGACTTAATGGCAGACAAGTGAGATTAAGAACATTTTAGATCCCTTTTTGTCTTCAGCATAACCCAACACAGCTTGTTTGTCCAGGATTTCAGGACATCAGGCCTTTCTGAAGCAGAAGCAGGAGTCCTGCATGGAGGGTCTCTGCAGAGAGAGATGTGTCCATGCTGTTTGGCACACAGGCAGAGCAGAGAGCATGTCAAGCCCAGAGTATGACTGTCCAGGAATGCACATAGTAGCTGCACCCACAGCTAGCTGCTGGCTTGTCCCTCACAGAGTGAAGGAATGAAAGAATGAAAGCATTTTGAATAGCTCTAATTCAGATGCATTTACTTAAATGTCCTCCAACACTGTTTTTCCCTAAGGAGTATATATCTGTATATCTGCTCTATTCTACTTTGTGAAAGTCATCAGCAATTTACTGTGGGGACAGAAAGAGGGAATACAGGACTCATGCCAGAGTACTGGATCTGACTCGAATATTTTTCATGCATACTGAGATCCAAAATTTGTCCCTTGATCTGTGGAGCTCAGTCCCACACCAGGACAGAGACAAAACCTTTCAAAGAAAACTGTCTAGACACAGCCAGAAACAACAAGAGCAACAACATATTTTGGAGTACCTATGGGTATGTAAGAACATGCAAAAGGCATGGTGGCCCAGGTCTAGTTATACTATCATGGGTTCATCTAGCCCTGTCTCTTGTCTTTGGCAGGTATCAGAAGTTTAGATCCATGGTACAAAATGGGGCAGCTGTCAGCATTATATCTTAGAAAATTCCACAGCAAGAAGTTGCATCCACACCTCATTTTTAAAGTAACTTTTGAGAGACTTATCTTCTGTGAATTCTTGATATCATTTATAACTCCACAATACTCAGTGGCATTCAGTTCCACAGCCTGTTTGTCATGTGAAAAAAGTATTTCTTCCTCATTTTAAATTTGCTGCCTGATACTTTCCTTTGACTCCCCTCAGTTCCTCTGCTGTGAGAAACAGTAAATAATCACTCTCTGGTCACCTTTTCCACCTTCTCAGTGATTTTATAGACCTTTATCATCCCTACTGTCTGATATCTCTTTCGAAACTGAAGAATGCTATTCTATTTACTCTCTCCTCATGCCAAACTCATTTTATGCCTTTGAGTATCTTTCTCCATTTCTTTTCAAATTCCCTTCTGTCCTTTTAAAGAAAGGAAAAAACCTGCACATCCCAGCAGTTAGAGAGCAGCAGAATGTCTTTTGTCCTCCCCTTCCTACCCTCTGGCCCCCTGGCTGGCTGTGAGCACTCACTCTGCAGACATGTCTGTGGGGCTGGCCATGCCCTTTCTTAGCTCCTTCACCTGAGAAATCGCCAATGCTGAGGCCACTGTTGTGTCTGGATTGGTTTTTTTGGGTTGCTGTAAACAGCACAGGTCCAAGAACTAATCCTCTGGGACTCTGAATTTCTAAACAGAAAGAGTAACATGCTAAAGAGATTAATCAGGGCATTTTTCCCATTCCAGCAAAGTGTTCTCCAGGATTCTGGAGAATACATCTGCAATCTGTCATTACCATAAAATTACCATTTACCAGTAATCTAGTGAAGGAATGTCTTCTGAAAAGTAAAGATTATAAATGCCTTCTGTGATTATAACATGTGCTTCCTTAGCCCAAGTGATTCCAGGATTCGGTCTTCTTTCCCTCTACATGCTAACATTTATCAGCTTACCCTCAGCAAGGCAGCTGCCTCCTTTCTGATGTGTTAACCCCTGTTACCTGCCTGTGCCCAATCCCTGTGACTGCAATAACCTTCATCCTATCAAGCCATTGACTCTTTATCGTTAAAGACGTCTTTCTAATGCCTTGGCTCCATCAAACCACAGACATTCGGGAAGTGGTGGGAGATGGAGAGAGCAGTCTTTACACAAAGAAGAAATATGAATTAGACCAATGGCATTACACTGAGATTATATTTGCATGGATAATTTTATACTTTAATGCTTTAGAGCCCTCTATAACACATACCCTTTGAAATAAAACTCCAAAATTAATAAAGGTTCATTCATGAAGTAGTCGTCACTGAATTTAGTGTTACTGCTTTAGGCAAGGGAAATGAGGTTTCAGGATATCTTCATGGTCACACATATAAAGTACATTTGGGAAGAATAATCTAGTTCTGGGATATGATGAATATACAAATCAAGAGCACTGAGGGCAGCCTAACCTCTACATGAGCATGAGATACCTCAGCACTGATGACAGGTAGGTAGCTGCTGTAATAGAAAAGCATCCCTCCCCTCTCTCATAACTAAGTGAATTTCAAACTGAGAAAGCACAGAAGAGAGAGAGCACCAGATCTTTGTTTGCTCTTTCCTCCAATCCAGGAAAATCCCATCATTAACAGCAGTAGCAAGAAAGATGCCCTTGGAGGAGCTGCCAACACACATTCATTCGCTGGAAGTGGCCTACAGCACTGCTGAATGGGCAGCATTACCCTCATCTCAAATGCTTTCTTCCACCTCACACTTCTGCTTTGTAACTCATTCTTTAATATTAGATTTATCACTGAATCACCCCAAAATCCAGCCTTAAAGGGAATTAAGTCTGTTACACAGCTTAGGCAACAGGGACTAATTCTACACCACCCCAGTAGTGAGAACTGAAGTGTGGAAGGTCTCAGACACCCCAGAGGGGCTTCCTTCATGGGGGATTATTGCAAAACTGCTACTACCACAACGCCAAATGCACAAATACCTGCTTGCAGACACAGCTCACACCTTGGCCCTGATTTCAGTAGGGCTACCCTGACCAGTACGTGCTGTGCTTACCACTAAGCGTTCCCATGGCACCTGAACATGGGTAAACATGAATGCCTGCCTTACTTGAGTTCAGCTGTTTGAACAAGCATGGAGAAAGCATTCGACTCCACTTGACTCAAGCAACCCACAGTGCTAACACTGCAGTTGTAACTGTTCATAATTTACAAACTAAGGTCAGTTGGTCAGAGAAAGCCGAACTCACTACACTAGCGCAAGGACAGTGAGTGCCAAATCAGGCAAGAGTCTACTGCAGTCCAGCCGTACTGCTGTTCAGCTCTCCAAGCCCCAGTGCAGAGTGTTTCATGAGCTTTTGCCTTGCACCCAAGCTGACACACTATTCATCATCAAACGTCAGGCTGATTTAGTGAGCTGAGGTCTCCAGCCTCAGAGGCATTTTCCAGCTGTGTCAAATAACCCTTTCCAATTAAGGTGGCAGCAAATTCCCGAAGAGAGGGTGCATTGTTCCAAAAATTTGCAAGGTAAAAGCTTTGCAAGCTTATTGCATATCACACTTCGCTCTTCAGAGCAAACCTGGTCCTCTTGCTTGATGTCTGAGCAGCGTCTAGGGCTACTGGTTTTGCCCCAGTAAGAAGAGATAACCAGCTACCACCAGCCAGCAAGCCATGAACCAGGTCCCTGCTAGACTCAACACTGGCAGCTCTGTGCACCCTTCTGCCAGGCAGCAGCTTTAGCAGGACATCCCTTTTCACCACAGCAGTTCACAAGGGAAAAGATGAATGTGATTTTTTCTCTTCTCCCCTCCTTTAGCCTCTGTCTGACAGAGCAGTGGGAAGCAAGGCAGAGAGAGATCCTCCGGATTACAAATCCAATTACAGTTGTTGTCCTAAGTGCTTCTTGTCAGCTTTAAAGATGTTCCTAAGCCAGCAGAACAGTTCACCAAATGGGGCTGTGATGATGCTGTGGACACAGAGTAACAGATGCTCTTGACAGATTCTCAATTAATAAAACAAAACCCAAGTGACTGCAAATATGGCTTTGTAAAACATTTACCAGGTTGCTCCAGAGAAAAAGCCAGCTGAAAAGTCCAAACTGACATTCACAGAATTTAGGCTTAAATGAAAAACAATAATGTGTTTGTGTTTAACATCTTGTTTTCTTCTGTGAAAGCCCATGAGACTGATAGAGATTACTGGAAAGATGGAGTCTTTGATGGTTATTTCCACTAAGAAAGGAAGTAATTTCTATTCTTTCTCACAATATTCGTATACAAGAAGATATTTTATTTCCTCCAGGGACAACAACCTCACTAAAGAAAACAGCAGCCTGCATATGGGTGTACTCTGTCTTTCCATGTGTGGGATTTTCAGGGCTGAACACAAGAGGTGTCACATTTTGCTGCAGGTACATGGGCTTGGGAATGCCGGGAATCACCTCTCCTGGTGTCAGCACTGGATTCAAAGTCCGCTGTGGTCCATGGCAAGGATTCTGCTGATACATGTGGGCTTTGGACCGCACTACCATCTTGCTGGCATTTACACACAATTTAAAAAGAAAAAAAAAAGCAGGGAGAAAGAGCTGTGTGCCAAACAAGCCTATGGCTGCCACAAAAGCAGTCTACTCTGGAAAACCAGGGATACCACTGTCCATGCCAAACACTGCATGTTTAAATCCGTACCTTTAACCTCATATTTATTATTATACAAAATAAACGTGGGTTACAACTTGAAGAGACATTCACCTGAATGTCGGCAGCTGTTGTAACTATGCATTAGCACTAAAGTCTGTTAGAAACAGGAACCGACTCCCCTAACCCTCTCAGAAAAGGGTAAAGAAAACTGGAACAAATCTGTTTAGTTTCTTAACAGAAATGTCTCGCAAAGTGCCTGCACATTTCTCTAATAATAACTAACAGACAGCGAGAAGTAAACCCCAACAGACTGTAGCCTCCTGACTTGCATTGTGAAAGAAAAGGCACCAGTTTCAGGAAGCAAAGCTCTTCAGAGGCAAACTGAAGAAGGTGGGCTTTGAAGTGTTCAAACCCACAAAAATTCCATATATTCCCCATATGTCAGCAGACTAATTGCAGTGCATTTCATGTGCTAATACAGCAAAAATGCACCTTCAGGGTTCAATTAGGTCTAGTTTTATCTGACTGTTCTAATAAAACAACAGTGCCGACCTTGTATTGGTTTAAAGTCAAAGATAAAAGGGGGCTGAACTTTGAAGGATCTCTCTGCCCACGAGCACAACTGCAAACAGAGGAATGTAATTACTGGTTGTACCTGAATAAGCTGCTGACCTTTACTTAAAACTTGCAAGAGCACTGAACAACCCAACCCCTGATGGAAAACCAGCAAACACCAGTAGAAGACAGAAGAAATAAATTATTTTCCCACCTGCTTTTCTGTTTTGCTGAATTACTTCTCTTGGTTTGCTCAGGCGTGTGTTTCCAATGGTGCATGTGAACCACTGAAAGGGGGATGGGGATCCTGCTCCTGCTCACAGCATACCTGCTGCCAGGGCGGGGCTTCCGCAAGAAATCAAACGGTGATGCCTGAACTGGATTCTGCCAACAAGCTCACATCTATAATTTATTTTAATTTTCAATTGTGTAGATATTTCTGTTGCCTACATTTCTATTTCCAGCCTCAGCACAGTGCTATCCATCACAAAACTCATCTTTACAAGCCCAGCACTTCACAGCACCCACTTTTTCCTCTAACTGAACACAAAATGTCTTGCTCAGGTTACATTTGCTAAAACACAGGACAACTGGCTTTAATCTGGAACAAAGAGGGCTTCGGAAAAGACCCATTCATAAAGCAATTGTCAACAGACAGCAGGACTCTGTTATGTTCCCCTGCTTAAAAACCTAATCATAGGTTTAGGCTTGTGGAACGTGCCAAATTCATAGCTCAATGAGCAAAGAACCTCTATTATATATTTTGCTGTCAGCATTAATATTTCAGGAAAATGGAATGCAAAAGCTACTAAATTAAGATAAATTACATGCTTTTTACTTCCTATTTTAAATTCTGATTCAGGAGCTGAATTCTGGATTCATTACATGGGATGCATTTAAAAGTTTCTTCAGTCCAGCTGAAGCAGGATTTAGGAAATGCTAACTGACCAGCCTGCACTTAAGTGCTGCTTTGAATTTGATACTTAATCATGTATAGAAATGCACAAATTCTTTTGTGATACTTAATACTGAAGAGAGGGTGAATTTACTTAACCTATTTCACCCTCTTGAAAATTGCATGGGATTTCATCAGGCTTTTCCAAGTGACAAGTAGGTAAGAGCCAGAAGACAGCAACAACACACTTTGGGTGAGGAGTTCTCTTTCATTCCATGTCCAGTTTATTCCTGTGTCTGTTGCATTTCTAAATTCATTTATGAAGTAAAAATAGTTATGTTAAAATAAGCTAGATACATACCAAGGGTACTTTTCTTTCTCCATGTAATGCAACCTTCTGGAGAAAGCCTGAGTAAATGGGTAAGTCTTATCGCATACACTGGGGAGGGTGGAAATCTAACAGCAATTCAGTGCCCTGAACAGACTCTCTGGGGAGCATCGATTCTGCCTGTATCTTCAAAAAAAGGGATGCAAGCAAAGACTCCCCTGGCCCAGCTGTTTCTGCATCAAAGAGAACTAACAAAACATAAACAAAGCCCAGACATGCTGTACATCCTCTCAGCTATGATCCTAGCAAAGGAGGGAACACAGGTACAGCTGTAATGCATCTCCCTCCCCAGCCTAGGGAGGGAAGCGCTGCCCAGGGCAGTCCCCCAAAGCACTGTGTACTGCAGACATCCCACTGAGCGACAGCTCACAGCTTCTTCCTAAAGACTTTTGGATGCTGGGGAATAAATGCAGCACCTATTGCTTTATTGAGGGCTGACAAGCCATGTGCCTGCAAAAGAAAAGTTCCATTCCATCTCCTTTCCAAGTTATTTCTTTTAGTGTCATCATTTCACCTGTTTCACATCCTATTATAAATGCAGGCTCGTTAAACATCACCCGAGAAAGCTGGGCAGGGGTGAGGTATTTGCAGTCTAGAGCAGCACAAAGTCACATTCCCTATCCTGGCTCAGGTACTTTTGTCCTTGGGGGACAGAACAGCCCATAATGTTCCTATTTGCCATCATCCTGAGCCCATTCCCCACCCAGTAATTCCAGGAAGAGGTAGGTCTACGTCTGTCTTTACATCTATTTGGTCAGGCCCCAGATTTGCTTACTAGTCTGCTTACTCAGTGAACCATGCATGAAGTACTGGCTGCCTTGCTTTATTCCTTGGACCCATAGTGCAAACCACAACTTAGCCCTCAAGGCGCTTGTGCAGGAAACCACATTCAGCACTAAGCCAAAATTTCTAATGATATGTCTGCAACATGTAAGGCAGCACAGGCAAAAACCTGCAAGTTAGCTCCAGAAATGGAAGCAGAACAGTCTTATTGCAATGGTTTTGCAATGTGCTACTTAATGCTCTTGACAGATTTGTATGGCTCTGCCAGCGGGTGTACTGGCCACTTCCTCTGCGTTACAGTGCAACACAGGGCACGGATTCTGCCCTGACTCTGAACTGTCCGTGCAAATCGAGCCCAAACATCCTGCACGTGAAGTTGTTCACATGTGACTGCTTATGCACTGAATTCAGCAGCTTTCTTTCCTATGCCAAACAGGCAGCACAGAGAATATAAAATAATAATTAAAGAAAATTAATTGATTAAACCAAATCCAATTTTAACTTGGGTTGTATTACCTAGAGGAACTGTAGCAGGCCTGTGGCACATGAAAATTTGTTTCTGTTCTTGCTATATTCATGAGGAGAGAAGGTATGTTTCCCCTATTTTTTTGCTTTTTTCCATAGCTTTTTTCCATGGCAAGCTTCTTCAAAAGTGGCCCCCACAGCACCCAGACATCCAGTATCATATTCTACTTCTAAAGCAGGCAAAACCCAAGAGAAGTTCAAGCACCTGAAACATGCTTTTCCTTGCAGTACAGCGCTGAAAGGCACAACTGCTTTATAAAAGAAAAGTTAAATGTTAAATCTTTGTAAGACTGCATTTTATTCAAGCACAGAAGGCAGTACAGCAGAGGGAAGTGGCCATACACTGCTTCTGACCCTGCCCCAAATGTCTCTTTTATAAAGCACATTGAAAAAATACCCCCCAAAATGTTTTTCTTCACATAATTCCTGATATTATGGAGTCATCTTGCTATCATTTTTCCTTTTCTTCCCTATTTTACTGCTGCTTTATTTATCACTTTGATAAAAAGTGATACAAAAGTGTCATCTTTTAGGTCTGCTCCTCATTTGCTACTACTACTTCAAACTTGCCAGCTCAGTACTAGCAGCAATCCAACTGTGGCAGGGTATAATACCGGCTATAAAGCCTGTGCAAGAGCAGTAAACACTTTGCTGTTAGCCTGCCTTCAATTCTGCGCTACTTCACTTAAACTGCTACCAGAATTTGAATGAGTTTAACTGCAGCAACTGCTGTGTAGACATGTCATTTGTACTGGCTGGGTTTTCCTTCCCGAGTCTTTGCTAATGCTATTTTCTGCTTTGTTTACACAGCAGGTTTATAGTACCATTTGTCTCCATTTGTCTGTGTTACCGTCATTATTGGCATATTGATATGTACACAGCAGCAATGCTTCAGCATTGGAAGTGGCGGTATTCTGAAAAATGACTACTTATTTTGGTCACTGACCAACCGCAATGGAAGACCTCTATTTCCCAGTAATCATTTATTATATTCAGGCATTCAGGCCAGGTAAATTAATTTGAGTATCCTCTTAAAAATCCTAAATGAAAATTGGAGTAACACTATTATTCATTAAGACACACTTAAGATCATGAGCCGCATTGCTTACCTATGGATATGGTCCAAACTGCAGCAATTTTCATAATAGCCTTGGTGCGGGAATTGAAGCGGCTGTGCTCAATGGGATTGCGTATTGCTACATACCGATCAAGAGAGATGGCACAGAGATGCATTATAGATGCAGTTGAAAAGAGCACATCTAGGGAAATCCATATAGGGCACAACTGTTTAGGCAAAGGCCAAGCATAATCTGAAACATAGAGAGAAAAGAAATGAAAGGAAAAAAGAAAAGGAAATAATTTGGGAAGCTAGGCCGTAATTTCTGAGAAACTGTTGGGACATTTTAACTCTAGGATACCAGTAAAGGGCACATGCACGAGGAGTGGACAAAGAAACCTCTTGTGGGGCCTCTCTCTGGGCAGTCCCTGGATCCGGACACTCCATAAACCCATAGCCAGTTCCCACATATCTGTTTTCCATGACCAGTCGCTAAAGGCAAAGGAACATTAATTTGGCAGTGCCTCCAAGTGACCGTTCTAGCTCTGTTCCTCTCTCTTAACCTTTCCCCCATATGTTTACAAAATCCGATATCACATTAAATTATAATTGCCTCATCACATTCTTTTCATGGATTGTATAGCACTATGTGGCATTAACTTCACTCAGATCCTTTCTAAAGCTCTCTTGATACGTACTTCTCAGTTTCTGTCTGCCAAGGAGAAAGGTAGCAGACAGTTTTTCTACACAGTCTAACAACTAGCTAAATGACACTACTTCACCTTAAATATTCTCCCCAGGCAGTGTGCTTTAGTAACAGAGGAATACTTGCCTCCTTACAGAGCAGCTGGGATTGAGTGGCTGAAATTTGAAGACTGTTTTGAGGGTAGGCAGAGCTGAGTATTACTCCTTGCAGAAATGAGTATGCCAGCAAACTAAACAGACTAGATAGCTACATCTGACAGCAGCTGGCACGCAGCTAATTTGGGTGCCTGCGTTTATTAATCAGTTTACTCAGTGCTGAAGTACAGCTTGAGAATAAAAGTGACCCAGAAAGATCCTCAAAGGCCACTGGTATTTAAATTAAAGCTCAGAGAGAATTGATTTGTGAATGATACTCCCATGTTAATGCCCAGAATGGATTATGTGAGATCAATAACATGTCCTGACAAGCTCTGGGTTTCTAACACACTTATCAAAACAAATCAACAGTATCTATAGCAACTGAAAACATGAGAGACTTCATAATAGTTGAATAATGATATATTCTTGTGTCTTCATTCAGAACATGAGTATCTAAAGCAATCTTGAAGTTCACCCCAAAGATCAGAAACATCACTCTGCAGAATCAATGTTATATTAAGAACAATGCAGCTCCATCCTACTGATCTTGAATGGAAAGGGAGAAATGTTAGTCTCGGAAAGCATATTGTGAAACTAATTACCCAGCCAAGAGAGACCCAGGATACCCTACAAGTAGAAACCTGAGATGAACTGAACCAGAACAAATTATTGCAAATTGTCCCAGCGAAGCCCAGGAACCCTTCACAAAGAGCACGGCAGAATGCGATGGACATGTTAGCTCATTTTACCAGTGGGAAACCCACAGAAGAAGTGCTAAGTAACTCACAAAACCCACACAACAAGACCTCAGCTCTGGGGAGATAAACCATTTATTTCAGCAAGTTTGCACCACCCGTACTAGGTAGACTGTAAGTGGAGTGAAATCCAAAGCAGCAAGCATTTAAAAGGTCCTTATCAAAGGGAACTAAGTAAAGCACTTCGTGGCTGGAGCATCTTTACTTTGAAAGGCACCTCTGCTGTACAAATGAATTGAACTTGGTTAAATTATGACTCAGCCCCTTTATGAAGCTACGGTCAAATTCTGCGCCTCCTGCTCTCGTTCACACTTCACAATAGCTTAGGACATCATTGCCATCAACCTGTAATTGAGCTCAGAGCTCCAGCTAAGCACACCTCTGGTTTGCTGGGTCTGTAACGGTGCCTCAGTGAATACTCCAGGGAAGAACCAGTCTGATCTCTTTCAAGTGGTACCTGTGCTCCCTGTACAGCCCCAGGCTTCTGCTGCCAGCCCAAGCTAAACACATGCAGTCACACTTTATCCCTCACTACTTCTTCCTCTGAGTTGCTAGAGCCAGCTTTCTGATACAGGCTGAAATGAGCTATGAGCACACCACCTGGAGAAGAGCACACCACCTGGAGAAAAGCACTGGGGAGTGTGCCCTGCTAGCTGAAGCGGTCTCTGTGAATATGTGTGGGGTGATCGTGACTGCAGCAGCCTCTGCAGAGAGGGACGGTGATGGTGATGGCTGCTCCCCCCATCAGGCAGACAGCCAGGAAATCTCCATTGTCTCCAGAAATGGATGCCAGGCCTCCAGGCTCCCTGTGCGTGGGAGCATCTCCACCCTGATCTATGGCACCACAGTGGGTACAATCTGATTCTTGTCATTTGCTACACCTGAAGAGGTTTCTACAGCAACCACCTTTTTAGCATTATTGAACGATGAACAGCTTCTCTTACTTCTTCCTTCGAGCTACTCGAACACTTCCCATGACTGATTCCCCCTGGAACATCTTCTGCTATTGATGTGAACTAGGCAACAGCATTACAACCAAAAAATTAGCAGAAGCAAAAGTGACAGTAAACGTTCATACCTGTGGTGTGAGGTTAGTAGGTGTTGCCTGCTGTCATCCCTGGCAGTGTGGGAACTACAGCAACCAACAAATCAAAGTAATGCTGCCCAGCATTACTGCTCGGGCAAACTGTCAGGATGTCTTTAAAGATAAAGGTGGTATGAGAGCCCTCCTAATGGCAAATCCTTTTAGTCTTTACTGTCCCAAGGCACTCCGTTATGCTTCTAGCTGAAAAGGCAGTTATATGAGGAGACATTTTACTTTCTCAGGGAGTTTCCTAAAATGATCTGCAATAATAAAATGTCACTCTGGAAATCTGTAGAATGGCAGCTTGTAACGCATGACTATACCTTGATAGGAAGGGCATAATATATATCCTATCTCAAAAAGCAATTACTTTTAAGTAAGCATGGTGTGTGCATTTGAAAAACACCTACACAGCCTACAAAGCCAGTAATTTGTACAAAAAGAAAAAAGTTCACTCTGTTTTGAATAAATGTACAAAACATAGGAAATGTGGCCTGTCACTGTGCCAAAAGGATTAAAAACCCAATTTTCTTAACAATGTTATAACTTTAAAACAATCTTATCCTCAGAAATACTCTATCTGCAGAAAGTAACATTTCTCTAATTCTATTTTCTCTCATTTCATACACAAAGAATAGCAATTACCATATATTCAGAAGTGCAGATGACTGAGTGAAATGAATTCTTGGACCCCAGCAATTCCAAGCTTTAGTAATTGCATTTCCAATGGAAAGCACGCATGTCAGTCCAAATTTGGCTCCAGAAAGAATGAAACAGTACTAAACACCTGGGTAAGCAAAAACCAAATTCTTTGTAAGAAACTCTGATTTTTGTACCTTGAATTATTCTGTGCCTTTAAAATCAGTCATACATTTAATGCACTGGGTGGTAGACCAGATAGGAGAGTGCTGAAGGGAATTAGATTAATCCAGCAGGTCAGAACAAAAGGCGGTATTTCTTTACCCAGCATGTAACTGCAGATTTTTTTGCCTCCAAAAATTTTGTGGATGCTAGAAGTTTACACTGGACAAATTCATAGAGAAAAGCATACAGAAGACTATTGCAATGATATTAATTTTAGATCAGTGTTAGCTTCTGGCTCTGATTAGGATAAAAACACCGTGTATGAAATCCTGGAAGGAAACTTCTGCAGAATGCCTGTGTATATCGCTTCAGCCTCCAATGCTGAATAGCATCTCATGGAACCTGAGATACCGTCATTCTTCACAGGAAGCATGCGTCAAACACTCATATTTAACCAGGAGTCATTTAACCATGGTCCATTGGTGGGATTTCATCTCCTGCACTGCGATGAAAAAGCAAACCACAGTTCCTGCGTGTCACTGAACAGCTGAGATGGGCACAAACTGTTGGCAGCAAAATACAGAAACTCAAAAACATTTTGGCAAAGTTGCCTACCATCTCTGTATGTAGCTAATTTGCTGTCGGATGAGAGTTCCCTTAAATTTTTTGTGCTTTCCATCAAGAAAGATGGCAACAATGAAATTTAATCACTTTTGTCAGAGATTTTATGCATATGGTTAAAAAGTGTTGTATAACACTGTTGTTATGGTCATTGTGCTGTTCACTGCATGAGAGTCAAAATTACCAGCCACTGCAGCAGGAGGTGACTGAATAATCCAAAACACAGCAAATGGAAGCAAAATTAATTATGTTGAATGGTAAAACAGAATTACTCCAGATTGTAGGAGTATGGCTGAACTGAAAAAAAAAAAAGTGTTAGAACCTGCGGCTGAAAAGAAACTGTGGGACTGCAGAATAGACAGAGGCTGATACAAACCCCCTTCCTTCTCCCCAAAGCCTCAAACAAAATCTCATGAGCTTTACCCAGCTTTTTGTGCTAAGCTGGAGCAGACAGGAGTTGTGTGTACACATGCAGACAAACACACCCCATGCTACAAATGGACTGGCTCACTATATTTACAATTTGAAAAATGACTGTTGCTTGTACATATTTACTACTTCTATAGCGCAATCTGCCCTAGGATACCTCCTGGGAATACGCAGTGTAATACTTGGGACAAACTGGAATAATAGTGACAAAATACCTGCTTACACCACAATAAAGCAAAAGAGTTATGTAAAATTCATCCCTGTAGCTTCAGAAATTTTTCATGGCAAACTCACAGTAAGCTGCAACAATCATTTCTTTTCCAACCATGAACAGGAATTTGGAAAAGGCTTCAGAACACATTTGTTGCGTTAAGCCAGTGCTTTACATCTATGAGGATGGATAAAAGGGTAAAAACCACCCTTTAAAATCACACAGGAACAATAAGGGTATATTTTGTCTTTTAGGCTCATGATTACATTTTATATATATATATATACACACACACACACAAGCACACATATATAATATATACATACATATGCATATATAGAGGAAAAAAACCAGACCTAAGAGATGCATAATAAGAAATAGAGATGCTTATCTGTTCAAATACAGCCTCTTTTAACATTGTTCATTGCCTTGGCCAGAAACTAAGACACATGTAATATTTCTCCTTTGGGGCTTCTGATATTTACTGTATTTACATTTCAC